TTCTATCATAAAACAGACTATCGCGCCGCTCGATATTGATCTCACTATCAACTTGCACACACACAGATATATATATATATATATATATATATATATATATATATATATATATATATAATAAAAAGGCTTAAACACTAATATTCCATGGTCATAATTTATTCCATTGAATCGTAAATACAATCTAATTCATCAGACCTACAAATTCAAAAAAGAAAACAGAAAAAACAAATCCGGAAATAAAAAAAATAGAATTTAGAGAGAGTGTAAGTATGAGAGTGTGGGACGAATGTTAGAGCTAAAGAGAGGGGTAACAGACGAGAGAAGGTGGGAGATTAAAACTTAACACAGAGGAGTTTTATAGAGGTGAGTGGAAGGGGGAAATATGAATGTTGTCGGATGTCTAATACATTAAAGATACATTTCGTGGTGACATTGAGTTCTACCTGGATTCTATCCTCTTGGAATTTTTTATTCAAAAAATATACATGTATGTGTATGCACCTATGTATATATATTTATATATTTTGCATATGTATGTGTATATTTACCACTAATATTATTATCTATCTATCTATCTATTTATCTATCTATCTATCTATCTATCTATATATATATATATATATATATATATATATATATATATATATATATATATATATATTAGCCGGTCTCTCGCGAGTACAGTCGATTTGATCTTGCACTTGTGTTGTTAGTTCATCTTCAAGTTGAGTCAACCGTCATCATTTATACACACCCTCATAAAAGTCAATTACTTCTTCCATTTACATCCATACAGGAAGCACATGAGTGATTTTCTGTGTGGCATTAGGTTAACTTTTCTTTTTCTTTCTTAAACCCTCTGATATTTCAAAACTTAGCCCACTCCATCATAGCGCTGCTGTAGCTGTGCATAGAATGAAGAGAGAATCAAAATGAAATAGAACAGCAGTATCTGGGCTGGAGCTGTATAATCCTCATTTTCTAGGGAAAAAAAAAACGTTTTCCAAACGTTTCACCATTTGCTATTAACCGGGAATGCTAACTTTCAAATTTTGCAACGCATTCTTACAGGTGATGAAAAATGGGTTTTGCATGTCAACAGATAATGAAAAAGAAAACAGTAGTTATCACAACATGAGAAATCAGGTCCACCACCAACAGCAGGACTCCAATCCACAGAACTCCTTCCTTTCTGCCTATGTGGAATATTAATGGGTCATCCATTACATGCATGGACGCAGAGGTTCAGAGACATTCGCTTGGTTAAATGGATAAATAATCCATTAAGTCGAAAGTATCTTGCTTCGGTGAGATCTGTTTTAAATCCCAAAATACGTTCATATATTTTCTTGTTTTTCATCATTCTTTAATTTTAAATCCGCATGTATATATATACATTCATCTACCTGCAAACATTAAGTGTCGTCGTAAGGATGGGTAACTGAAAGTGACGATAATTTAATATTTTCCTATGAGTCATATGTACGACTTCTAATAAATAATATACTGTCAAACGGGCTTCTATTTCATTTGCTCTTCAATTTTTATGAGCAGCTTTTCTCGTCACTCAGTTCACTCAGCCAGAAATTTGAAAAGAAAATGACGTACCGTTTGGAGATTCGCGTAGGAAACTCCAACATTTCAAAGTGTTTGGATGTAAATCTCAGTACAGTGCAGAGGATTCGGAAAGAGCCTGTTGAGTCTAATGGTGATTACGTGTGATGGCGACGTTATGCCTCCATTCATCTTCCTATAGAAGACCTACATCAACTCGGAGACCTACATGAAATGCCTTGAGGCGGTTAGTGCTGGCTTGGGTCGAGAGTTTGTAACGCCAAAGATGAACAGAACGCAAGGATTATGGAAGTCTGAAGTCAATGGCGATTTTATTTAATAAATTTACTCTTTAGTATTTCAAGATATCTTGGTGTAATTTTAATCTCTTAAGATGAGATGTCAGTGTTATTTTCGTTTTTGGTTGGGTTTTTTTGCATAATTTAGACGACAATATATCCATCGCACCTACTACACGTCAGTTTTAAGAATTGTTAGTAAGAATGTGAATCATTCACTTTGTCTATAGAAACGTAGATCATTACTGAGCCAAATCAACGCTGGAAAATGAGTGAGACGGAAATAAAACTTGAACGTCTGCCGGTGAGTCAGCTTACATTTCTTATATTTGGAAGCTTTTTTTTCCCATCATACGACCTTGCCGAATCAGATGCAAAGTTGACGAACAAGAGTCATTCATATATAACTAGGTGTTATTTGTGATGGTAATATAAATCGTTTTCTTTATAAGGAATTATTTCGGCTTTCCTTGACCGCGCAGCCAGTGCTATCGTCGTTTGAAATTTATGAAATATTTCTATTGAAAAAAATTTCTTTAGAAAATAGGTTTTCTCATATCAACTGTTTTCGTTCATTCCAGTATTGATGGGTAAGTCTTTTCTAAGCATTTCTTGGATGCCACCTTCTTGGTTATGTCTTTATTTCT